CGCGCTGGCTTAATAGCTAATTACCCTCCTCCATCCCCAACTCCTCCTCTCATCCAGTCAGGATTCGGCCTTCTGATTCCCCTTTAAATCAGACTAATTTCTAAAATGTGTACATTAAATTAGTGAACATTAATGATATCTGCAATACATTTATGTTGGTTCTGTTCTGTTTATCCTATAGGGGGCTTATCGCTGCTCTCCCTGCTCTTATCCATGCTAGGCTGCATGTATGCGCAGGGAGTTCTTGCCCAGAACAGAACCATATGCCAATCCAACTGATGATAGTGGTCCTGACAGAAATATATTATAACTTTCCCAGACTGGTAGTTATTTAATAATAACTTATCTAGATCAGTGCTTCTAATGACAGAGTAAGACAACAGGAACAAAACAATGCTAAATAAAAATAAAATGACTAAAAATAAAACTTACCTTATAATCATGCATAGTTGGATAAGCAAAATACATTTTGTTTTGGCTTTATGAACTTTTAAATAAATAAAAAAAACTTCCCATGTACAGTATACTGGTCAAAGGTTTGAAATTATTAAATTTTTTTAAACGTTTTTGAAGTAGTCTCTTGTGCTCCCCAAGGTTGCATTTATTTGATCAAAAATACAGTTAAACAGTAAAGTTTGAAATATTATTACCTTTTAAGAAATGTTTTTCTATGTGAATATATTGTAAAATATTTATTGCTGTGATCAAAGCTGAATCATCATTACTCCAGTCTTCAGTGTGACATGATCCTTCAGAAATCATTCTAATATGCTGATTTGGTAATCAGTTGTTATCAGTTATTATTGGTGCTCAATTATTAATAATGGTTCTTATTATTATCAGTGTTGAAAACTCTTTGCTGCATAATATTTTTGTGGAAACTATGATTTTTTTTTTTTTTTTCAGAATTCTTTGGTGAAAGTTCAAAAGAACAGCATTTATTTCAAACAGAAATCATTTGTAATATTATAAATGTCTTTATCGCCACTTTTGATCAATTTGATCTACAACAAACTTTTCAAACACTGTGCATACAGTCAAACAAACCTTTTGGTACAAATTGACGTGTCACTTTAAGTTAGTCCAGTTAGTCAGAATATTTGCAATTTATCATTATGGATTTAGGAAATCTCCAGCTATTTTACAAACAGTCTCTTTTTTTGCGCAGAAGGAGCGTCAGAAGTGCACAGCTGTGCATGAATACTTATGAGAAACATTGATCATGTCTGGTTTAGAGCAGCGCTTGTCAACTGCTTTTGCTTCAGGACTCAGATTTTACAATGGACATTGAGTGGTGATTTATTGTACAAAATTAAACATAAATGTCCTAAATCTAGATTACGCAAAATTATTGACGTTTTGGAAGATCAAGCATTTCTGAATGTCATTTGAATTTTCATTCTCCCGCAGCACAAAACACATTGTGGTCATGTTTATTCTCACTGCTTAAACCTGTATTTAATGTAGTCTAGGTCATATATTTTTTTTTTTACCTTGTTAAGTTTTATTCACCGTTTTAGAGAATGATGCATGTCATGCAAACTCTCCATGTTACATCTATCTAATTTGACAGGCTTCTATCTAGTGTAGCGAATCAGCTCATGGGGAAATATGAATAATTAATCATAACTAGTTATAATTAATTATAAATATTTAGATCCGCTGTAGATATTTACTTGACCTCTCAGGGTCAACTGTCTGTCAATTCTAAGAACGTTAATTTCCTGGTTAAGGGAAATAACTTTCTTACTGTACAACTCTACACAGAGCCTGTAGCATAAATCTGCATGATTAGGGACTCCAGTTATGAGCAAACAATGAACAACATCAAGTGTGATACAAGTAAGACTTTATTAACTACATAAACACTTAAACGAGTCTAACATACTACATAAACACTTAGAATTAATTAGTAGAAAAGTCCATTTCTACTGTGCATTGTGTCTCTTCCTTATGGAAAAGGCAGTGGTTTTCCCTACTCACATTCCATTAGGTCGTAAATGTATCTGGTCTAGCAAAGGTGTCGTGGTTGCCATGGTAACCAGTGTCCTGGGCCTCGTTCACAGACATCTTGGCTCCCAGTATGTTTATTGGGTGAGGGGTCTGTGAATGTTTGTTAATCTAATGAATAATTGATTTGTTAAATCAAATGAAAAATGGTGTGTCTGATTGGTCCAGACACTACACTAGTGACAGATAAATTTGCACCAAATTATTGTAGAGTTTGATCCGATTTTTCACTTGAGATTCTGTCTGCGCGACTACTTACGCTGCTTTAACATTGTGAGTGCGGAGAGTCAGTAGTGAGTCATAAATGGCCTGAGTCCAGTCTGGTTCTTCAGAGGGAGATTTTCCCAGAATCTGAGCGAGAGGAAGGCTGTTTGTCTTCTCACAGCTGCACCATGTAGCCTCTCTCGTCTTAAATCATCAAGAGCAATTATCATCATCAACATCATCATCTCCTCAACCACTTTTCTGCAGCATAAGAGCTTTGTTATGGAGCCAAGAGCCTAGTTTTTCTCAGTATACCTTGTTTGTGCTGCAGGCAGTGATTCTGGATGATTGCTCAAATCTGCTGATTGTTTAAGAAATGAGGGTGGACTTTTTCGTCAGGCACATTTTCTTCAGATGTAAATATGAAAATGTAGTTATATAAAATGTAAAATCAAGGCACTTTAGCATCATAAAGTAGTTTAGACACTTTTATAATATTAAAACAGTGTAAAACCATAATTTTTGTAATATTCTATTTGACTACAGTCTGTTTTTAAAGTCAGTGAATGCTCCTGTTTTTCCATTTTTGACTCAAGGGTCATAATTTTTTTTAACACTTTTAATACGCATATCTGAATAATATGAGTGCTGTAAGAAATCTAATGATACACACTGAAAGAAACACACATTGTCTGCTCTCCTCAACACTTTGAAAAAGAATCAGTGTCTGAAGCCTTGAGCAACAGTCGGTCAGAGTTAAACAGATAAACACTGCTTGAAATATATGGAGCGTGAAAACGATTTGAATTTTGTCATTTTGAATTTTAAAATAGTTTTTGTGACAAATTTTTTATGGATTTGTATTTTTAAACAGCAGATTTTTAGGTTTTTAAAGGTGAAATTAGTTGTAAATACTGAGATTATCAAGAGAAAGAAGAAATTCTGAATTCTGAATTATGTAATATTAGAATTTGAATGATTACCACTAGTTTCACTCCTAAAAATTCAAAACACAGAAATACAAATCTATTAAATGCGCCACAAAAAAAATCTATTTTTGTTAAATGTCAAAATTTAGGTTTACAAAATTATTTTATTTATTTTTATTTTTCATATTTATTTATTTTATTTTTACTGACAAGCCATGGGCTTCTTCTGAGAGGAGTGCCCTGATGTCAAACGCTGTATGAATCTGTGAATCTACTGTAGGTGAGGTGTGTTAAAGATGGATTTCTGGGCTTCCCCACACATAGTCAAGCTGTGAGCGCAGAGTTCAGCGTGTTTGTGTACAGCGCCAGCTCTAATTGAAAACACTTATGCAGTTGCAACTTTGGCTTAACTTTGGCTTAACTTCCCCGGCACAAGTTTTTTTTTGATGTGACACTTGCAGGTTTACATGCTTGTAAATAGTTTTATGTATGCACAAGTATACGCACAGCAGCAAGCAAAGTTTCAAAGTAGCAAACCTTGCAAAGAACACACTATGCTCTGCATCAGTGAATGCTGCACATTCACAGAGCCTTTACACAGAGTCAGATGATGCATTTCTGCAATGATCAACATCCTAAATCTAGCCATATTTTTCATTTTTAAAATATTGAATGTGCATTTATAACAGTATACTTTGTGTTATATTACCTTGGCAATAAAATTGTAAAATGTATGTCTTGTGTTTCCATTGTGTTGTTGGTTTGACCTAGTTTTCCTGTCTTCTAATTTAGTTCATTTTGTCCACCTGTTGTCTTGTTAATTACCTCATTAGTTCATTTGTTTGGTTCATGCTTATAAGTCCTCAGTTCTCCCTCAGTGTTATATTTGGCATGTTTATATTGGCATGTAATTAATTCCTGTCTCCAGTATCTTTGTTATTAATGTCAATTCCCTAGTGCTTATCTGCGTCTTCGTGAGCTTTCTTACGTGGACCATAACAAAAATACAGCTGCTGAGGGAGAGATGATACATTTGACATCTTTCTTCTGACTGCCATGATCATTCTCTTCATATTTTTTTTCCTCTTTTGGAGAAAAAAATATTTTAATTTATTGAAACAATTTAGTTTATATTATACTACTGGTTTTGGCTGATCTGTTTTGATGGTTTTAGAGTTTTAGAAGATCCAGTAATAACATTAAATTAAACATTAAATAAAATTTTAACACATGCATGGATGTTCCCTATCAAAAGCTACTCTCCACTGAGTACTCTCAATAACGCATATGAGAACATTCTTTGTTTGACCGGTCGTGAAGAACGTGTGTCAACATGTGTGTCAGCCAAGAATTGGCTTAACCTCGGTGGGTGACGTCATTTGATTACGTGCACCTGCGGGGTTATAAATAGACGTGGACACACCTTCAGGTTTCTTAGTGTGCATGTGTGCGTTTTGCGCCGTGCTGCATCGCAGTTTGTCTTTTAAAAAGAAAAAGAAAGAAAAGAGGAATTATGGCTATGTTGGGGGATGACCCACATAACTTTTGCTTCGAGTGTTTGGGGGATGAGCACGCTGCCCTCGCGTTTGAGGGAGATTGCGAGCACTGTGACGTTTTGCCCATCAAAGTGCCAAGGGGAGGGAACTCAGCGACGGTCTCTCCCCTTTTTTGGCGATCTCCATGACGAGTTAACTCATTCATGGAGTAAGCCCTATTCGTCCAATGTCTTTGTGCCTTCGACATCAATTTATTCGACCATCGTGGATGCAAAGGCACGGGCTACATGATGATGCCCCAGGTGGAAGAGACGTTTATGGGCTATCTCTCCCCTGGGAGCTCATCCTCTCTGAAAAAACCAATGCTCCCACCAAGCCCTGTAGGTTGACATCCTCACTGGTGGGGAAAGCATTCCAAGCAGCGGGTAAGGCTGGTGCTGCCCTGCACACCATGGCGGGTTTGTAGGTGTACCAGGCTGACCTGCTCAAGGACTTGAGCACGAGCGTGGCCATTGTTTTCCGAATTTCACTGGCCCACAGACCTGTCTCTCTGTGCGACTAAGCCGACGGCCTGCGCCATTGGCCGTTCAATGGCACCTATGGGCTCCACGGAGAGGCACATGTGGCTGAACCTCATGGGCATCAAGGGCATCATATTACTTGTTGATGCCCCCATCTCGCCTTCCGGCCAATTTGGCGGCTCTGTCAACACAGTTGTCTCCAGCGAAATGTTAAATGTTTGGTTGCCTCCTGCCATGTTTCAGGACACCGAACATCTAATATTCCCCAAGCAAAGCGAAGTGCCAAAACTAGTGCCCCTTTCAGAGAAATTGGCAGCATGGAAACTACTACCAAATATCTCTCCTTGGGTCGAAAGGACAGTAGAAAAAGGCTACAGGATACAGTTTGCGCATCGTCCTCCGCGTTTCAACGGTGTGTTCTCCACTTCTGTGAAACCGGAATAAGCGCATTTGTTGACAGGAATTGCAAGCTCTGCTGGACAAAGGGGCCATAGAAAGTGTTCCCCTGCCAGACAGAGAGTCCGGCTACTACAGCCGATATTTTCTGGTCCCCAAAACCAGGTTTGCATCCAATTTTAGATCTTTGTGGGTTGAACCGCTACCTCAGAACATAGAAACATAGAAATCCTGCCACAGCACAGGAAGTTCCTGAGGTTCACTTTCGGGGGCGAAGCTTACCAGTATCTGGTTCTTCCATTCGGCCTAGCCTTGTCACCCCGCACATACACAAAATGTATGGATGCAGCACTGGCTCCTCTGCGACTCCAGGGCATCCGTATTTTAAATTACATAGACGACTGGCTGATTTTGGCCCAGTCTCAAGAGCTTGCGCTTCGACATTGGGATGTCGTCCTAGCTCATCTCGAATCTCTGGGGGTTGAGACTCAATGCCAAGGAAAGCATTCTCTCTCCTTCCCAGAGGACAATGTATTTGGGGGTTGTAGGGGATTCTATCACAATGCGGGCACAGCTGTCTCCTGCATGTGTCGAATCCATTCTAAACACCCTAAAGAATATCAAGCTTGGCCAGAATGTTACCGTCCATTACTTTGAAAGGGTTCTAGGTCTCATGGCAGCTGCATCCACTGTGATACCTTTGGGCCTCCTGCACATGAGACCGTTTCAGTTGTGGCTCAGAGCTAGGGGATTTCATCTAAGGGCCAACCCCCAGAGGCAAATAAGGGTTACGCGCCAGGGGCTTCGTACCCTTTCTATGGGGTTCAGACCCCGGTTTCTGACTTTGGGTGCCACTCTAGGTGCGTGTTGTCGTTGCAAGATGCTAACAACAGACGCTTCCCTCACGGGCTGGGGTGCGGTCTTAGATGGCCGTCCAGCCCAAGAGATTTGGAGAGGTCATCTTCTCGACTGGCACATCAATTACCTTGAAATGAAGGCTCTATTTCGGGCCCTGAAATACTTCCTCCAGCAGTTAAGAGGCTACCATGTGCCAGTGTGGGTGGACAACACTGCGGTAGTCTCTTACATAAATTGCCAAGGCGGACTGCAGTTGCGCCGCTTGAACTGGCTAGCGCAGCAGGTTCTGCTTTGGGCACAGGACAGGTTCCTGTCCCTCAGGGCGATTTACATTCCCGGGCATCTGAATGTGGGAGCAGATTTGCTGTCTAGACAAGCTGTGACACACGGGAAATGGAAACTCCACCCCGAAGTAGTCAGTCAAATCTGGGAAAGATTTTACGAAGCAGAGGTGGACCTCTTTGCTTCGAAAGAGACAGCAAAATGTCCCATCTACTTCTCTCTGACTCCTCCAGCTCCCCTGGGTCTGGACGCAATGGCCCACACGTGGCCCAGACTACGTCTTTACGCATTTTCCCCGATCGCTCTGCTCCCGGGAGTCCTGGCCAAGGTCTGTCAACAAGGGTCGCGCCTCTTACTGTTAGCGCCCCATTGGCCGACCTGAGTGTGGTTCTCAGATCTAATATCTCTCCTCGATGGCTCACCATGGGCGATTCCAGTCAGGAGGGATCTCCTATCTCAGGTGCAGGGGACAGTATTTCATCCCCGGCCCGAGCTCTGGAACCTTCATGTCTGGCCCCTGTGGGGGACCAACTAAGAGATGCTACATGTAGGCTTCTAGCCGATGTAGTACAGACTATTCTGAGTGCTAGGGCTCCCTCCACTAGAAGAAGTTATGCCCTCCGATGGCGTGTTTTCAAAAGGTAGTGTATGACACACCATGCAGACCCAGTTCACTGCCAAGTTGTTTCAGTGCTAAAGTTCCTGCAAGAAAAACTGTTCTCAGGTACATGTCTTGGTACTCTCAGAATCTATGGGGCCGCTATTTCGGCTTACCACGCTCTGAATGACAGGGTCTCTGTGGGAAAGCACCCTCATGTCGCCAGCTTCATTCAAGGAGCTAAGTGGTTGAGGCCGCCCACCAGAGCGTCAGTCCCTTCGTGGGACTTAGCTATAGTGCTCGAGGGTCTGGTTTGGACCCCTTTCAAACCACTAGAGTCAGCGCCTGTCAAGTTTCTGACTCTAAAGTTGGGTTTTCTCATGGTTATTACTTCTCTAAAGAGAATTGGGGATTTGCAGGCTCTGTCAGTCTTGCCATCCTACTTAAACTTTGCCCCTGGACTGGTCAAAGCTATTTTGCATCCTCACCTTCCCTATCTTCTCAAAGTTCCATTCTCGACCTTAAATCCAGTCATTCTTGAAGCCTTCTGCCCTCCACCATTTACGACACCAGAGCAGGAAAGACTTCACTTACTGTGTCCAGTATGTGCTCTTCAGATTTACGTCCACTGCACTAGCCAGTGGCATAAGTCGGAGCAGCTTTTCATATGCTATGGGGGCCGCATCCGGGGGGCGGCTGCCATGAGACAAACAATGTCACATTGGGTGAGGGATGCTGTAACAAAGTTCGTAGTTCGGGAAGAAGGAGGCGGGAACAGGCGAACATTTAAACACTTTAATAAAATAAACCAACACAAAATGAATGTAAAGCGGCAGCCCCTCGCAGACGACTGCCGCACACAAAACACAAAATAAAGTCCAGGCCTGGTCCTCTCTCGTTTTGCACTGTCGTCACTCCTCCTTTTATCCTTCCGGAGCTCCTCCGTGGGACTCGAGACCGGTGAGTTGCGCAGGTGTCTTGCATTATCACTTACTCCACCGGCCTCGCTCCGTTCCCACGGCTCTCGGCCCCGCCCCCACTCGTCACAGATGCTATTGCCCTAGCCTACGAGGCGCGCGGTCAAGCTTCGCCTCTAGGAGTTAGGGCCCATTCAAATAGGGGGGTTGCATCCTCTATGGCTTTAGCAAGAGGTGTCCCTTTGCAGCAAGTGTGTGATGCGGCGGGTTGGTCCTCCCCGCACACATTTATCAGATTCTATAGTTTGGATGTCCATGCTACTCCGGGCTCACATGTCCTTGATTCAACATCCCAAAGTCATGTATGAGACCTCTTCATTGTTTGTGCGCACACACTACACAACCTTTAGGGGTCCAGACACTTCCAGTGTGCAGCCTTGGTATTCTCGTTCCCATATGCGTTATTGAAACACAGCATCGAGAGTAGCTTTTGATAGGGAATGTCTCGGGTTACTTGACTGTAACCCTGTTCCCTGAAAGAGCAGGAACGAGATGCTGCGCCTCAATGCTGCACTGTAGGCGTGCCTGGACATTCCTTCAGACAAAGGTATAACCTGAAGGTGTGTCTGTTTCACGTCTATTTATAACCCTGCAGGTGCACGTAATCAAATGACGTCACCCACAGAGGTTATTTTAGCCAATTCTTGGCATCTTTGACACAGTGCTTCACAACTGGTCGAACAAAGAATGTTCTCATAAGCGTTATTGAAACGCAGCATCTCGTTCTCGCTTTTTCAGGGAACAGGGTTACAGTCAAGTAACCCGAGACAAATCATTCATAATAAGATCCATAAAATGCATTTAGAAAATAGATGAATTTTCATTTCATGCTCTAAAAAAATTTCCTCCTAATTCAACTTAAAACTTATTTTGAGTTTAAATTTAAGCCTTACATTTTTAAGAATATTTAAGAATGTTCAGCAGGGTCTTCATGGAGACACACAAATGGCTTGTGTCCTTCTTTCTGCTTGTATGGCCTGAAATGCAATAATGACTAAATAAATCAAATAATTGCAAAGCTTTTTACCCATAATTACACTGGTCATTTGTGGTTTGTGTTCTCTTGTAGGATCACACGCGTGCGGTCAGTCCCATCATTGATGTGATCAGTCTGGATAATTTTGCCTACCTGGCCGCTTCTGCAGACCTGAGAGGAGGTGAGAGAGATCTCACTGCTTTAGCACACAAAAACAAACAAACAAAAAACATCTCTTTAATGTATCAATTTAATCTCTTTAATATTTGTTTCTATGCAATGAGAGTAAAAGGAGAAAGATGTTTCTGATGAGAATAATCTCACACGTTTCTCCTCTAAAGTCTTAGATATCTCAGACTGTGCTCAGATTTGCCAAGACACCAAAGTCTGTAATCAATAGATCTCATTATGAACCAGTGTTATTTTACTATTACTTATATACTATTATAATATTTATTAGTATTTTAAAATTAACTTTTATTTTCATATTTTTTAGTTTGCATTTTAATTTTAGTTTGTTTTAGTAATTTTGATATTGATTGATATTGTTTGTAAAAATTTGACTCATTTATGTCTAATTTTATTGTTATGAAGGAATATTAGGAGACAAACATATGAGACAGAGTTGATACTTAAAGCACAACTCAACTCAACGTTTGTTTATAAAGCACTTTCAAAACCATGAAAATTGACCAAAGTGCTGTACAGAGATAATAAAAAAAGAAAAACATTACAAACATACAATACCAACACAGCATGACACCAATATAAATTGTACAACGAAATCACTCACATTAATCCGACCCACTCAAACGCCAAAAGCCTGATGAAATAAGTCTTTAAGTTCCTTTTAAAAATGTCCATAGTTGACGAAGATTTTATGAATAGTGGCAAGGCATTCCAGAGCTTAGGAGCCGCAACTGAAAAGGCGCAATCTCCACTACGCCTTAAACGAGACTGAGGAACCGTTAAGAGCAAGTTCTGAGAAGAGCGCAGATGACGTTGAGATTGGTAAGGAGACAGCATGTCCTTTATATACTTAGGAGCCTGATTGTGCAATGCTTTGTACACAAACATTAACACCTTGTACTGGATTCTATAATTTACAGGTAACTAGTGAAGAGATATCAACACAGGCGTTATATGATTCCGTTTTATTAATTAAAAGTCTCACAGCAGCATTTTGAACATACTGAAGACGAGTAACCAGAGATTCACTTAGGCCTAAATATAAAGCATTGCAATAATCCAATCTTGTGGAAATGAAAGCATGCATAACAGTTTCCAGATCCTTGGTAGAAAGGATAGGTTTCAATTCAGATAACTGATTCAGAATAACTGAAAAAAAGGTCCTTTCACAACACTGTTTACTTGGCGATCAAAGCAGATATCTGAGTCCTAATTACTCCTAAGTTCTTCCCAAAACCATGCATGTTGTTTGACAATAGGCCATAAATCTCAACCAGTTCTTTCTCAGGGAGTCTATTCCCAAATATAATAAACTCGGTCTTATCCTCATTTAATTGTAGGAAATTATTTGTTAACAATCCCTTTACCTCAGTCAAACACATAGAAGAATTAACAAATGATGTACAGTCATCATACTCAAGAGGAAGGTACAGTTGTATATCATCCGCATACAAATGATAATTTATATTGTATTGCCTAAAAATCGACCCTAAAGACAACATGTATAACAAAAACAGGGTTAGACCAATAATCGATCTCTGTGGAACACCCCAAGAGATAGTCGCAGGTCCAGAAACAAAATTGCCGATGTTTACAGCACATGTCCGATCCTGCAAATAAGAAGAAAACCACTGAAGGGCAACACTGTTTGTCCCTACATGGTCTCTAAGGCATTCTATTAAAATGGCATGATCTATTGCAGGGGTGGACAAACTTGGCCCTTCCAGGCCACTTTCCTTCAGAGTTTAGCTCCAACCCTAATCAAACACACCTGAACCAGCTAATCATTGTCTTCAAGACTACTAGAAGGCTACAGGCAGGTGAGTTTTATCAGGGTTGGATCAAATCTCTGCAGGAAAGTGGCCTGGAAGGGCCAAGTTTGCCCATCACTGATCTATTGTATCGAAGGCTGTGCTCAAATCTAACAGCATTAAGGCAACCCATTTCCCGAAGTCAATATTTAGCAAAATATCATTTTTAACTTTTAATAATGATGATTCAGTACTATGTTTAGTTCTAAATCCAGACTGAAAAGTATCCATTATACCATTTTCAGTCAAGAAATCAACAAGTTGAAAATGGACAACCTTCTCCAAGATGTTATTCATAAAAAGCAATTTAGAAATGGGTCTGAAATTTTTAAAATCCTGTGAATTCAAGTTCGTTTTCTTTAAAACAGGTTCAATGATTGAGGAAAGTGGCCTGGAAGGGCCAAGTTTGCCCATCACTGATCTATTGTATCGAAGGCTGTGCTCAAATCTAACAGCATTAAGGCAACCCATTTCCCGAAGTCAATATTTAGCAAAATATCATTTTTAACTTTTAATAATGATGATTCAGTACTATGTTTAGTTCTAAATCCAGACTGAAAAGTATCCATTATACCATTTTCAGTCAAGAAATCAACAAGTTGAAAATGGACAACCTTCTCCAAGATGTTATTCATAAAAATTTAGAAATGGGTCTGAAATTTTTTAAATCCTGTGAATTCAAGTTCGTTTTCTTTAAAACAGGTTCAATGATTGCATGCTTAATCTCTGATGGTACAGTGCCATAAAATAAACTACTATTAATAATCGATAGAATAAAAGGACCAATAATGTCTACAACCTCCTTAAAAAATCGTGAAGGAGGAACATCATAAAATGAGGTAGTCGGCTTTAAATGCATAATGATACTCAAACAATTGTTTTACTCAAACAATAAGAAGGATTCATTGCATCGATTACAACATTGCCTACTGGTAAAATTTTCAAGCATATAAAATCAACCTTATCAATTAAATATTTTTAAAAACTCACACAAGTCTTTAGTCGGAGTAGAGAAAATATTAATAGACAGACTCAGTACCTTATCTATGGTTGCAAACAAAACCTTCGGGTTATTTACATTATGCGATATAATTTGCTAGAAATAAGATCTAGCTGCTTTAACATCATCTTGATATTGTCATAGAGATTCTCAGAGGTTATCATAAAATACTTGTAACTTATCTTTAAGCCACTTATGCTCGGCACACCGACAAACTCACATAAGATCCCAAGTGACATCATTTAACCACAGTTGATTGTTCACCTGAGCTTTGAAGGATAATCTGGTTCATTTATAAAGTCTGATATACCAGCTGATATTTGGCTTTTTTTGCTTGGCTGATGAGTGTCGGAAGCATCTTTTATTTTGACAGTGGTGGTACTTTTATTTTGACAGCGGAAAAAACACCAGCACCTGAGCGCAGATTTCAAATGTTGGTGTACTATAGGGATGGGCGATACCACTTATTTTGTTTTCGATACGATACCGATATTTTTCAAGGCAGTATCGTCAATATCGATACCGATTCGATACTTCTGAACTAAACTTTTAAATTATGAAATGCATTAAATTATTAAATTACTAAGAGGAAAATGGGTAATGATAAGCACTTAACTTTATGTTTAAAACGCATTTTAACCCGTTTAATCTGTAATTGCACAAACTATGTAGGCTACAATTTCAGTTTGTTTATTGTGAAATAACTCTGTCCTTCTGTCCCCTGATAAGCATTGTTCAGGGCTGCCCTTCCCAAAAGCATCAATGGTTTCTTATGATACTTTTGGGAAAAGCAGCTGTTTGAATGCACTGTCAGAAGTGATTGATTAGTTCTGTCTTGCAACATTTGCGTGTTCAGATGAACAGGAACATAGTTCTATCCTATACAATTACTCGCTAACATAGGTTATTCGTCCAATTCAATGCATATTGTAGGCATTATCATTTTTTTGTTAAATAAACAAAATCACTGGTAAATAAAACACACCTTAGTATCGATATTTTTTGTTTGAGTATTGATACTTTCAATACTCGCGTCAGTATCGATACATTGATACTTTGGATCGATACGCCCATCCCTAGTGTACTATATCCAGTTTGCTGCCATGTCATATTCATCTCATATGTCAAATCAGCATTATTTGGTCTTTGAGAAAATATGTTTCCCAGTGTGCAGCTTTTATTCAGGTTTTTAACTATTTCTTTATTTGTGAAAAATACTATAGTTTACATTTATGCATTTGCCAGGCATTACTGCTTGAACTACAGGAAAGCATTTTATACTATGAAAAATACTATAACAGGATTACAGAATCAAGAAGTCACTAAATTAATATTACTTTTATTTTTCAGGTTAATTTTTTTTACAGTTAATTATTTCAGTTTAGTATGTAAAATAAATTACATTTCATCGCAGCAGTTGTTTTGCACATTGTTTAAATTACATCATATGTATGGTATCGGCCATCAAAAAATCAGTTGACCGATTTAAAATTACTGCATGTGTTGATTCCAGAAATAACTGCCTCACTTTTTCCCCTCTGATGTCAGGTTTCGACTGGAGTTTACACTTCAAATGGGAGCAGATTCCTATAGAACAGAAAATGGCTAGAAATGACCCAACACAACCAATCAGGTCTCGCTCTCTCTCTCTCTCTCTCTCTTTTTAACTATTTCTTTATTTGTGAAAAATACTATAGTTTACATTTATGCATTTGCCAGGCATTACTGCTTGAACTACAGGAAAGCATTTTATACTATGAAAAATACTATAACAGGATTACAGAATCAAGAAGTCACTAAATTAATATTACTTTTATTTTTCAGGTTAATTTTTTTTACAGTTAATTATTTCAGTTTAGTATGTAAAATAAATTACATTTCATCGCAGCAGTTGTTTTGCACATTGTTTAAATTACATCATATGTATGGTATCGGCCATCAAAAAATCAGTTGACCGATTTAAAATTACTGCATGTGTTGATTCCAGAAATAACTGCCTCACTTTTTCCCCTCTGATGTCAGGTTTCGACTGGAGTTTACACTTCAAATGGGAGCAGATTCCTATAGAACAGAAAATGGCTAGAAATGACCCAACACAACCAATCAGGTCTCGCTCTCTCTCTCTCTCTCTCTCTCTCTCTTCATTAAGAAAGTCTGATGCAGATTAAAAATCTAGAATCTTATTTAAACCTATTTCAAGTTTTAGAATCTTGAACACAAAGACTTAACAACACATTTCAAATTCCAGGTCCCTAGTCAGTTGGAAGCAATTTTGTAACAAAAGACCTACAAAGTCAAACAACCAGAAGCTTTTAGGAAACTAGAAGCATTTTATTCCTGTAGTGGTCTCAGATGTTTGGACCCCATAATAACATGTCCATACCAACCGCTGTTGTTGCAGGACTCCTGTGATTGCTGGAGGAATCTTTGTCATGGATAAAGGCTGGTTTAATCACCTGGGCCAGTATGACACTCACATGGACATCTGGGGTGGTGAGAACTTTGGTAAGTGATGTTCAGATGTATGTTTTTACTCCTCTGCTGTGAATGTGTTCAAGTGTCAAACATCCAGTGAACAGTTTAGCAAGACGAGCGTCAGAGATCATATAGCACTGCTAGAGCTGATAAAGAAAAGTGTGTGGTTTAAGTATCCTTACTAATATAATCAAACAAACCTCAGGGTTAATATAGTCACCTAAAACTAAAGCTAAAACTATTAAAAAAAAAACATTTTTGTTATTTGAAATAAAGTAAATGTTAACTAAAACAAAACAAAATAAAACGTTTAACTTATTCTATTTAGCTAGTAGCAACATTTCTCATTTTTATTAGTTTCATTTTTTAGTTTAACAAAACAAATCTAAAACTAAAATTTTAATAAAAATGTATACAAAACGATATAAAACATTTAGAAAATAATAAACATGATAAAAACACATTACAAAATTACTTTAAAGTTTAATTAAATTTAATTGAAATGAAAACAAAATATTACAAAAATATATTTAATAAACATTAATTAAATATTAATATTAATTACTATTAAAGTTATATTTAACAACCCTTACCAAAAAGTAGTATACTTCAAGTTTATTTTATTAAGTATACTTAAGTAAAGTTCAAGTATATTTTTAAGTATATTTTATGTAGCAAGTATACAAATATCAGTGTACTAGTAGTATACTTGTAAGTGTACTATTTCAATACTCCTTGGGACTAAATTGGCCCACTTTCTAGTATATAAAAGTATACTTTTAAGTATACTTTAAGTATAACAGTAGTAAACTTTGAGTACACAACTAGTTTACATCAAAATGTTTAGTTTGTACTGCAACTATACTAAAAGTGAACTTATAGGTATACTGATAGTTTACTAATTAAATACTTGTAGTAGCATTTTTAGTACACTTTGAAGTATAGTCTCAGTAAACTACTAGTTTAGTAGTTTTATACTGCAAGTATACTCGTAAGTTTTCTTTAAGTGAACTTTACATCATACTTTAAGTATACTACTATGTCCCTATTTAGGTATTAATTTGTATATATTTTGTTACATGAATATCTGAACATACAAAACATCAAAAGAACAGGGTATCTGCTTGTAAACAAAAACATTTTATTCTAGCTTCATGCATTCTTTTTTTAAACACTTGAATGTGGATAAGTTTCATAAATAAAAAATAAAGAAATAAACAACATTTTGAACAAAAAGCTGAAAAAAAGACTATGAATTGGATTCAGAATGATAATCAAAACGTAGATAAAGTCGATCAACACCCAAAGCTTGACTGTTATTATTACCTCTTCATTGGTCGACATTACATCAGCTTTACACAGTTTTGATGCTGTTTTATGTCTGATGATCGTGTTAGAATACATGTGGAAGCATCTGTTGTTTCGGTTTCTTCTTCACTTGTGTTTTTTGGAAATTCTGTACAGAAGATGTGTACTAGCGCCCCCTACCGTATAACAATGAAAACACGGATTCTAGGAACACAAGTATAGCTCAAATATATTTAGACTTTTTCTAAGTAGGCTATAAGTCAAGTATACTTAAATGTCATTTTAAGTATATTTCTGAGAAGTACATAAAGCCCATTTCTGAGAAGTACATAAAAAGTAGACTAAAAGTATACTTTCCTATTTTTTTGTTTGAAAGAAGTATATTAATAGCACACTTGAATAAGCTTCTTTTTCGTAAGGGAAAATATGAATTATATTAGGCATATATTAAAAACTATAAGTAGATTTCACTAAAATTAAACTGTGTGTGTGTGTGTGTGTGTGTGTGCGCATTAAGCTGTGTTTATAGCCCTCTACTGGTTAAATCAGAGTCTTGTTGGAAATTGCTTTAGTATTATACTTTTCTACATTTTTTGTATATTTTTGTTGCTATCGCTGTGTCCCATATGTCTTAATCAGGCTCAGTTTTCCACAAGCAATTTGTCTGCCCACGATGAAAGTAAAACTACGACATGACACAACAAATGTCATTTTTGCATTCTAACTTGCTCCAATAGCAAAAAAAAAAAAAAAAGAAGAATCCACAATAGTGTGATTTTCCAAAAGAGGAAAAAAATATTGCGAGACTGATTATGTTGGTCAGAAGAGACCATTGTGAGACCATGGCACTCCCTCAAACACGCCCCTACCCCAAAAGGGTCTTGCCCCTATTTTGATAGCTCCGCCCCACATATACGTACGCAACCCAGGCAATGATTAGTTCTGTGAAACAAAGCAAAACCAATGTTACACCGTGTCTACGGACGTGAGCGGCGCGGCGCAACAAATCCCCGACAGAAAACTGCTGCCGGGTTCTATTTATGACGTGCTGACACACATTTCAAATGGTTTTCAACGGTCGTTTGATCGCGTCCAGTGTAGGCAGACTTTAGCTGTTGTAGACACGGTGTTACTCACCTATTGAGAAGAAACAAAGCAACCTCGGCGTCCGATCGCAGGCCTCCGCTCCTTGAGTTCTCTCCAGCGCTGGAAAGCTGATCCGATATTTACACGGGTCATACTTCTTGCCTTATCGTTCCGCAGACGTTTTCCTCTTTTGTCTTTTATCCGCCATCTCTATCTTTCTGTCGCTCGGCTCTGCTAATGTCCGTCCCATGCACTGAAAGCTCTCTCCTCCACATCACGAGTAGACACGCCCCTTATAGCTGATTGGCTACAAGTTTGTTTTGCTATTCGGCCCGAATCAGTTTTCTAAAGTGTTTTTGAAAAATCACATACCCTGCCTTTAATGCCAAGGTGATCAAACACATAGTGGAAACACTGGTCCATCAGAATGTATGTGATCCTCAACCTGCAGCTACAAGGAGAGGAATTTTGGACAAATTAAATTTCAGTGTGTGTGATGCCACAGAAACAACAAAATGTCCTGTTTCTTGCAGTTGTGGCTGCTTAGGAAAAAAATATCTATTGGGAAGCCTCTGTAGTTTTTTTCATCGCAGTGTTTTTCCTATTTCAGGGCAATTGTAACAATATTTTTAATGTCTCTGTGTTTACTTCCATGCATAAATGCAGTTCTTTCTATTTCTCTCTCGTTCTCCTCCGTTGTGATGCGGTAGAGCTGTCGTTCAGAGTGTGGATGTGTGGCGGCAGTCTTGAGATCCTGCCCTGCAGTCGCGTGGGCCACGTCTTCAGGAAACGCCATCCTTATGACTTCCCAGAGGGCAACGCACTCACCTACATCAAGTAGATTGGCCTTTATGTAGCTTGTAATCATATGTTTTGCATTGCAGTGTACGAATGAATGGCTGTTATGTTTTCTGTGTGTGTTGTAGGAACACGCGGAGAGCTGCTGAGGTCTGGATGGATGAGTATAAACAGTATTACTACACCGCAAGACCATCAGCACAGGGCAAGGCCTTCGGGAGGTCAGACGTCTCTAAAACCTTGTGTAGATCTGGTTATAGTGACTTGGTGGAATGCCTTTTTTTCAAGATTGACTAAGTTTACCTCTAATTCTAAGGAAATAGTTACATCTAAAATAAAATGTGTGTTGTTTACTGGCCCTCGTGTCAGTCCAGACCTACAGTACATCACTTTCTTTCTTCAATGGAGCACAAAAGGAGATGTTTAGAAGAATGTTCACGCAGCTGCATACACTGAAACAGACTATCAAACTTCATAAAAGTACTTCAAGTATATATTCAATATATTCGGCTTGTCAAGAAGCATCAGGCTAGGTTTGAAATCAAACAGCAAATAACAAGATATTTACTCAAAACATTATTTAGGCCTAAATTTAAGATTTGTGTATTTGAATTGCATATAAAATGTCCATATATTTAGATTACACGGTTTTAAACTGATAATAAATCAATAAGTCAGTAATAAATCAATAAAGCAGGTCAGATTTCTATGATAGTACTAATAAACTAAATGTGTTTTAAATACACAATAACCAGGGTTATTATGATTATCATCAATAAATCCACTTTGTTTCAGTCTAAATGAATATTGCTTGGTCCACAGCTAGTCATATTTAAACCGTGTTTTCTGGTTGAACATATTTATGCAGATTCTAAGTGATTTGAATAAATGCATTTTGAACATATGATTATTTAAACGAAACCAAATAGATGCAATAATTGATAATAAACTATGCCTTGATTTTTGGAGTGCAGAAATCATTCATTCATGACTGAAAAATATGCATCACATATTCTATTGTTTGAATCATGTTTATTATTTTGTTAATGTTAAAACTGTGTATTCCAAATGGATGGACATTTTATATGCAATTCAAATACATCTATCTTAAATGTAGGCCTATATATGTTCTCATACAATATTTCATGATCAATACGGTGCACAAAATGTATGGCCTATGCACTACTTCTATGGTTTTTGGAGCTCGACGACCTCTGGTCACTGTCTGCTGTCATTATATGGAAAAAACTCAATGAACACTCTACTAAACGTCTCTTTCTTTCATTTTTGGGTGAACTATTCCTTTACCTCTCTCTGTCTCTCTGTACAGTATTGCAGATCGGCTTGCATTAAGACGGAAATTGAACTGTAACTCTTTCCGCTGGTATCTTGAGAATGTGTATCCTGAACTCAAGTGAGTCACGTTCACTGGACTGTGTCTGGGCTCTGATGGACTGCCAGACAAACCTGAGCTGCGTCCCAAATGACGCACTATACACTATGCACTTATACACTATGTACTTATGCACTATGTACTCAACCATGTAGTGTATGATTTATATAAGGTTATTTTGTCATTCATAAACGGAGTCTGATAGCCCCTCCCCCTTCGCTACGTAATTAAAGCTGTTGCGACAGTTGAGTGCATGAAGTGTTCAACATTCCACACTTTGTTTTTTCGGTTATTTAAATGCATCATCCGGGTATTTAAAGTGCACTTTTTCTTTTTGGAATGTTCAGTGTGAACACACTACTCACACTATTTATACTACAAAACGTCTCAGAATAGTGCATAAGTACGCGATTTGGGACGCACCTCTGGACTTTATATTCAACGCTCTCAAGTCCATTCTGAACGTGTTTTGTCTTCATTGCTTGTGTTTTTCAGAATCCCAGAGCAGGAAGCGGTGTACAGTCTCCTGAAGCAGGGTGGCTTGTGTCTGGAGAGTCACGGCACAGACAGTCTGGGTTTGGCTGAGTGTAAGACCACACCGAACATCCCTGCCTCACAGGTGACGCTCAAACAGAGTGTGTGATAACTGACTGACAGTAGCGTGACTTCAGAAACTAAACTACAGCAGTAGCGTGGCATCGGTAGTCTTTTTTTTTTTTTTCAACTGTAATTGCAACATGTTCCACATTATTTTCACATTTGCATTTTATTTATTTATTTTATTTTTGGCCATTAAAGGTTAATATACCTGTACAAATGTAATATAATGCAGTAGGAGTAGAAGATGAGAGAATTTAATGTGGAATGAAATGGAGTTGTTTTGGAATGAGAAGTACAGTAAATAAATGTCATCAACTCCTTCACACCAAATAAACTAAACTAAAAATGCTAAATAAATAAATAAAGCCAAGTATTTAGTTACTTTAAGTGTGATTGCTGTACAAATTGTGATTTGCTACATATATCCAGCAGCTCTCTGCATTACTCACTCAATCATTTGTCTGTCCTGTTTTCTGCTCTCAAACCAATCGAACATGACCCTGTCCAAAACATCTGACCTCATTTCTTTAGCATGGAATAGCTGGAAAGGGAGAAGCAACATTTCGCCTGCCAAATCGAAACACGTTTTCGGACATGGCCATGAAGTTCACACGGCATGGTTTTGTCAGTTGACAGGAGTGCTTTGGGATATCTTGGGTTATCTTTCTGAATGTTGTGTAAAGGACTCAAATTCCAGAAAAAAACGATATGCATATAAATGCCTTTATCTAGCTTTCAGACCCATTACCTGTATATTCCCTCATTCCCACTGAGACTGTGGTGTTTGCAGCATAGGCTTCAGTAGCTGTTCTCACGAAGGTCTGAGTTGTTTTACTTCTATCACTGTGGAAGGTTTACGGTTGATTTGTTCAGTATAAAATTGGGATGAAGTGCAGTGCCTTGAGATGAATCTGCATATACTGTGGAAGCGGTCGGCTTTAAAGGGGTCATAAGATGCTACATGCACTTTTACAAGTTGTTTGAACTGAAATGTGTGTTGGCAGTGTGTGTACACAACCACCCTATAATGATAAAAATACACCCAGTGCTTTTTTTTAATCGAGCCGATCTCAGATGCCTGTCTGTGTGACGTCACACAGACAGGCCCCTCCCACAATAGTTATGTTACAGACTTTTCATTAAAGAATCATATCAACTTGTGGAAAATGGGCATCCTATGACCCCTTTAAGACGACAGTCAAAGATTAGCAGTAGCATGCTGGCTTACTTGAAGATGATGGAGAAAAGCTGTAAGAAGGACAGAAATGACTGCAGAAAGATCCACTGAACCCACGGCTAGCATCACAATAAAATAACCTAATGTTTGATCAAAAAAGCATTGAGATGTCACATTAAATGAGGTGTAAAGCGCTTTCAATGAGCTATTATTATTCTGCATGGCACTGTACATCAGCACAATGAAAAGGCATCTGTGAACATGTCAGGCCCAAAGACTGTCTTATTTGTTTGCCTTTTGAAACTTTGTATTTACTTGAAGCAAACCCATTTTTCATTTTGAACATGGGCTAGAAAGCAGTTATGTTGTTTGAAAAATAAAGACAAAAAATTAAAAAACAATCCAAAAAATGTCGAGTTTGTCTTTGTATGCTACAGTAAAACAGTCACAAAGAATCCTTTCACTGTAATTGCAGACTGAAAACAGAATGCAGTGATGCAGAGATAGACGCTTAAAACATTTGTAAAATACAATACAAATGTATGAATGAAATTTGACAGATGTAGTTGTTTTTTGGAAGAACAGCACATAAGTACATGGATACATACAGTACTGTCCTTTTTTTTAAGTTATATTTATGGCCTTTTTTGTGAGAGGACAGTAGAGAGCTGACAGGAAAGCACTGGGAGGAGAGAAGGGAGCAGGATCGGCAAAGGACCCCGAGGCGGGATTCGAACTCGGGTCACCGTGAGCACAGTTGCGCTATATGTCGACGCACTAACCACAAGGCTATGGGCGCCGACACAGTACTGTCCTTTAACAGTCAGAGAGTCGGACTCGTAACACAAAGGTTGTGGGTTCGAGTCTCGTACCGGCAGGGATTGTAGGTGGGGGGAGTGAATGTACAGCGCTCTCTCCCACCTTCAATACCACGACTGAGGTGCCCTTGAGCAAGGCACCGAACCCCCAACTGCTCCCCGGGCGCCGCAGCATAAATGGCTGCCCACTGCTCCGGGTGTGTGTTCACGGTGTGTGTGTGTTCACTGCTGTGTGTGTGCACTTTGGATGGGATAAATGCAGAGCACTAATTCCGAGTATGGGTCACCATACTTGGCCACATGTCACGTCACTTCAAAATGTATATGGGGCTTAACGAATTCATACATACAACAGGACTAAAGGCGCACTGGAGTAAAAGGTGCTAATTCTCTAAATTAGATTCACTGTTCATGTGGACATTTGGCTGATTTTTGATTTTTTAGAATCTATAAAATAACCAAATATATTTTTATCTTTAATGCTTTTACTGAAGAATACGTAAAAGTATAGTATTGGTGGTAAAACGCTGTTGGGGTTAAAGGCACAAAAATTGGCATGATAATAAACAGATGGTTGACTTTTCCAGATTCAGATTGTTAATGTTATTTATTAAGTTGGGAGTCCAAATGAGAGATAATCGCCATATTTATAATGAAATCATATTTACAAAATATTAATCAAATCCTTATGAAAGAATATTATTCGAATACATTTATTATTATATTATTACATTATTGTGAGATCTCCTTTCAGAATTCTCCTTTCATTTTTTCAATATTTTTAAAATTTCATTGACAGTAAATGTATTAAATATATAAATTATTTTATGTATCAGAATAAACAGAACATAGTGCAAACTTATGAAACACTCAAAAACACAACACAAATTAGTGCATACATTCATTTTATTTATTAAACTTGTTTAGTTGATTTGATTTCTAGAATTATTTTAATTTTAAAACCATCAACACTTTACAAAAACATGTCTTTCTTAACCAGTAAAACCTTTTTTTTCTTCTTCTTTCAGGCAGATTGATTTATAATTGCCGCAACCTGTATTATTTCATTGAACAGACTTGTTTTGCAATGCATAACAATGAAAATTATAAATCAACAACAACAAAAGGTTAAAGTTACATTGCGCTAAACAGAGGAACCCATGAGAGTGTTTTCAATAGCAACAAAGTGCTGGATCACAAATTGTCTGTGTGGCAGCTTTAAGTTTTACATAAGACAAGTATGTCTGATTTGCATGTAAAGTAGGTATGTAGTATGTAGAGTTACAAGGGTTTTTGCCAAGGAGATTTGTGTGGAAAAATAACCTATAATTTAAAAAAAAAAATAGGCCTACATGTTCTGTTTATGTTGCAGATTTAATAATATTTCATATATTTATTTAATAATAAAAGTGCTAATATGACCAAGGCAGTAGTGAAAGTATTGTCGCAAAATGTCCTAAGGATATAACATACTTCAAACTGCATCCTGCGTAACTTACGTTAGTATGCTGTAATGCACTAATCGACCACCGGGTGTCAGGCCTTCATCACAAATACACAGCACACCTCGTCAAAATAGGCGTTACGTCAACAGATTCAAATTTCACGACCAGACATTTATAGAATAGATTACAAACATTTTAGGAACCTGCCCAGAAAACTGAAAGGAAAGCACGTGTTTAATACTTGCATGAACACTTTCACTAAGTACAATCAGCCAATATTTTCACAAATATGTTCAAGGAAATTGTTTTTATATAACCTTTTAACCTACAGATAACATAATAACAACGTCACACACACACACACACACACACACACACACAATGACTCAATTGATGCCTATGTCATATATTCCAGTCAGTAAACAGTGTCCCTCCCTACAGTCCTTCAGTCTGTCAACATCGGATGTTGATGGTTTGGTGTTTTAAAGGGATAGTTCACCCAAAAATGAAAATTTGATGTTCATCTGCTTACCCCCAGGGCATCCAAGATGTAGGTGACTTTGTTTCTTCAGTAGAACACAAACGGAGATTTTTAAGTGTACGTGCTCTGGCGTAGTTTACGTTAATGGGTGTGTTGATATCCAGCCGAAGAGCAATCAACCATAACTTCAGGTGAGCAGGCTCAGAAGTTGGGAATACGTGGAAAGTCACCACTCCCGAATGAGTTCGCGCGAGAGAACGTAATCTTTTAGTTTTAAGTCGGTTTGAACAATCCGGATAAGCGCAAGTAAGTACCATTTTGATTAGCCGTCGTACCTACAATGACTGTGCACTGTGTAAACAATGAGTGACGTATACGCGCGAGAGATCACTTCCGGCGCTTGCGTAAACTACGCCAGAGCGCGTACACACCTCACGCACCGGAAGCCGTTTTTTTTTTTTGTTTTGTTAACATTGCCATGCATTATACGACTGATAGACTGCAACGGCTGGAGTTAAAAATCTCCGTTTGTGTTCTACTGAAGAAACAAAGTCACCTACATCTTGGATGCCCTGGGGGTAAGCAGATAAACATCACATTTTCATTTTTGGGTGAACTGTCCCTTTAAGGTCAACACCAGGGCATTGTGACCGATCGATCAAATGTGCCTCACCAGCCGGTCACTGATACATATTTAGATGTATGTGCACACGTGCAGGACTGATGTCACAAACAAATAAGCACTGTGTTCTTTACACCTTCTCTTTTTATAAACGACTGAAGGCAGTGAATGAGCTCAGTCACCTAATGAGGGCAGCGGGTGAGAGACAGGTGAGATAAACAGGCCTTGTCTTCACAGCACAACAGGCTCGACAGCTTTGTAGAGTTGTGTGAGCATTCCATGCATTCCTGTGAGCTCTGCTGCGCCATGAAGAACCTTCGTGTTATACTGCCACATCTTTGTTTTAAAAGAGCTGTGTGTAATCCTTGCAATGACTTTTGTGTGTTACTGATTCAAACCTTCACTTGATAGGTTTTACTGGTCTGCAGCCACAGGGATGCACAATATGTGTGTGACTGTGGAAGTATCTGCAAATCTTTGCATTTTTATTATCTGGCTGATATTGGAAGCAGATGACAAACGGACTCATCTTCAGTTCAGAAAATATATTAATTTTCTATGCCAGGATACCGAAGTGTTAAACTATTATCCATCGGAACTCCTGCATATTCTAATGTTTTGATGCTTGATTTTGAAACATGATATTCTGGATTGGAGCTTTACTGTGAACACTCCTGAAAAAAAGAGTGAAAAAAGAGATTGATTGATTGATGTCATCCAGTCTGTTAGTTATTGGCCATCGCAAATTATCGTTAAAATACAATAAATGTTTTAAAAACAAGCAAAACATTTGAAATTGAAAGAAGGCATAGTTGTAAAAAAATAAGTCAAGTAACTCAATAAATTATTTTTAATATAGTAATATAAGCAACAAATTGCTTACAAAGTGTAAAAATATTTTTTTTTACTTTAAATTATAATGTTAAAAAATGCATAAAATCAAGATTTAATTTGAAAAATCATATATTTTCCCTCTATAGCTATTTATTTATTTTTATATTTAATTTATTTTAGTTTATTTAATTTGTCCTTGTTTTACCTTCACAATCTCTCTAAGTTGCAGCCCTACAGCACTATAATATATATGTATGTATGTGTATATATACATTATACGCTTCCAGCAAACTCACACACACACACACACACACACACGTCTGGTCAGCTATCCTTGTGGGGACTCTCCATAGGCGTAATGGTTTTTCTACTGTACAGACCGTATATTCTATTGCCCTACACCAACCCTACCCCTAAACCTACCCCTCACAGGAAACTTTCTGCATTTTTAGATTTTCAAAAAACTTCATTCTGTATGATTTATAAGCTTTTGTACCCGTGGGGACCACAATTTAGGTCCCCACCGTGACACGAGTCCCCATGAGTCTGTGTGTATTCAGGTTTAAGTCCCCACCAGGGTATATAAACCAGTACACACACACACACACACACACACACGTAATTGGGCGGTGTTGTGAATGCTCCGCCCAGACTGATTGTTTATGTTGTGAATAATTAATGAGCGCTCGTGTCAGACTGTGACCCGCCCAGCGCAGATCAGCGGCTGACGGCTGCCTGAACCCGGCGAACAGGCGGTCAGGACCGAGACACACACACAGATAGACAGACAGACAGGTGAAGAGTTCCAGTGGCATCCATCCATATCTTGGGGAATATACTATTTTATTTTCCCGGTCGTGTAAATCTCCGAATCTCTCTGATCATCTGTGGATACGAGCAGCTCATCTGACCCGCCGCTGAACAGGTGAGTCGATGCACCTTTACCTATCCATCTGAACGGAGACGCTGTGAGGATGACGACCGGCCTGAGGATGTTATAACAATAATAGTGATCATTCTTAAAACGACGGCTGAAGATGTTGTTGTTAGCCAGCTAACGAGCTAACTGACTGTTTGACTTTGACTTCATAACGTAGCATCCGGCTAAATCAGCTGCTAACCGGCGACTAGCGAGATTAAATGGCTTAAACTAATGTTTCGTATGAAGAAAACAGTTTGCCGACTGTCTTGTGTGTTTCGTGTCGAGGGTTAAGCTTTGGTTAAGCGGTTTGTTGGTTCGGGCAGTTTGTTGAAGAGTTGCTAGCTCAGCTAGCCGGTTAGCAGCTCACCTGCCACTGATTCACAACACTGAAGCACTAACTACTCTGTTACACTATCACGTATTGTGTTATTATGAACACCAGAGCACAGGGAGATCTGTATGTTAGGAGTTCATTAATGGGCTGTTGACATGTACCGAACTGTAATTTATTCTAAACAAGCTGGTTGGTGAAGATTAGTGCTGCTGATGTTAATGCTGGAGTTGTTCAGCTTAGGGTGACATAAGTCAGGAACTTAACCTGCTTTTATGACTTTGTAATCATCGGTTTGCTGCTGCATCCACAGACAGCCGTGTTTGTAGCTGTCACACTCCAGAATGATAGTTTGGTGTGAGAGTCATGATTATATCCTAGTCTACACAACAACAAATTAGTCTGAGAGTCACTTGTATCTCCTACCAGCATCATGGGTCAGCCTGTCATTAACCCTGACATGGGAAATAACTGTCAGAAGAATCTCACTTTTTTTGAAATGGAACTGTTTATTCAATGTTTAGACAAAATAGAAAAGAAAAATAGCCTATGTTGTGTATTTGTTTTGCATCATGTTTGATACATCAGGCTTTTATGGCTCATAGTAAGATACATTAAAGGGGTCCTATTATGCTTTTTAACTTTTTTAAATTTTAGTCAGTGTGTAGTGTGTATGTTTGGGCATAAAAAAGATCTAGAAAGTTACAAATCTCAAAGTCTCCAAAGGGAGATATTTCGTTTTTAAAAATGACCTTTTCAAGAACTACAGCAAACGGCTCGTTTAGACTACAGCGTTTGTTTTCCGGGCTTTATGATATCACAAAGCGGCTCATTGGAATATCATTACAAAGAATTCCCACCTACAGAAATTGGAATGGTTGGGGGGTGGGGAGGGGCGAGGTTGTGGTTAGAACGCTTGGTTGAGTGAGCGCATCAGACGAGACGACGAAGAAGAAGTGCTGCTGCAGAGTTAGTGCATCAGAGAAAACCAAGAAGAAGAGCTGCAGTGCTGTAGCTTCAAATTTTCGGCATGTCTAGAACAATTCTTACAAGTACAACACGACGTAGCTGGGCGCCGCGGACAGAAGCCGCGCGGCGCCGCCGGTGTGCCTACACTCATAGAAAATAATGTATTTGAATTTTAAAGACGTGGCGCGACGTGACGCTGCGCTTCTCGTCTGGTGTGCGACCGCCTGAAACGCAGTTTTTTTTTCACCTCCGTGCCCAAACGTCTTTGTTGGGCTTCCGAAAGCGGATGATGTCAGGAAACAGTGGTTGCAATTTATTTTTTAACTCTGTTCCTGAGCATTATAACCCCAATTTGCTATTGTGTGCTGCGCATTTTACTGAGGACAGCTTCCACAACATGAGGGAGTACAGTGCCTGCGCCAAAAAGCTTTTGTTGAAAGACGGAGCAAAATTAAGAAATATATCGTGATATCAATTTTGGCCATATCGTCCAGCCCTATGTTTGGGCTTCCGAAAGCGAATGATGTCAGGAAACTCTGTTCCTGAGCATTATAACCCCAATTTGCTATTGTGTGCTGCGCATTTTACTGAGGACAGCTTCCACAACATGAAGGAGTACAGTGCCGGATTCGCCAAAAAGCTTTTGTTGAAAGAC